ATTTCGCCCTGCCCCACCCTTCTCCCACTCTGTTTATTTGCACTAATTTGCATGCCTCATTTGCAGCTAAACACACACACACACACACACACGTCTCGTTTCTTGCCACACTCGCATACATACATAGAGAAAGATGCAAAAGATGAAGGCTGTTCTGCTTCGGGAAACCACACAGTTAAAAAATATAGTTGAAAAAATAAAATGAAAATTCAAGACTGTGATGCTTAAAAGTCTCTGCCTACAGTCTAAAGAACTTAAGCAATGCCCTAGAGTGCGAATAAATTGTTATTTAATAGTTAAACTTAAACTTCTAAAGAGTTGAATAGATATTTTATAGTTTCATAGCATTTTTTGTGCAATAAAATTAATTTTCTTGATTCAACTCTAATATTTCCATGTGTTTTTTTGGTCTCTAGAGCTGCCTCAATATCAATATTATCAATATTTCTAAAAATTTTAAAGGAAATATTTGATTTTCGATATCAAAACAATTAAAGAAAAATTAATTATAGTTTTTCTTTTGTCTTTTGGCTTTAGTTAAATTTAAGATAATGAAAAATACATACAGATGGATAGTAATTAAAATGAGAAGGGAAACTAACTAGCTTACCTCCTAAACTAATAGCTGTTTGCAATAAAATTTTAGGATCGGATTTTAGGAAATGGATCAAAGCCAAATTTTAAATCTTATTATTGCTTGAATCAACATTTATTGATATTCTTATATGACAATATTTTCGAAAAATCATATTTTAAAAATATCATAACTAGGCCAAAAATGCATTCATTTGATATTTGTTTTTGTTTGTTATACAGTGACGCACTAAACTGTTGGCACAGTTGCAAATTTGAACTTTAAGTGATATTTCCAGGCGTATACATTATTTTATTGAATAAATTTTTTTAATATAGTTAAATTAAATAATTATGTATAAAATGACCCTATTTTTTTTTATTTTGTTTCATATATTTAAAACTATATAAACTTTAAAAGAAAATTACCATATTTCGTGACACAAAAGTCTTGGCACAGCTATAAGTTTTACTTGAATTATTTTAGATTTAAGGCTTTTATGTTCTTATTTTTTTAACAAATGTAAAAAGGGACTTTTTTTAAGCACATGGCGTCACAAAGTTTTAAAAAAAAGTTAAATTTATCTACATTTTTTCTGCCATTTGCCTAAATTTTAAGAAAATTGAGAATAAGCGATAAAAAGCCAACGTAGCTCAAAGAAAAATTGTCCTTCATCTGCACAATGAAGTCAAATTATATAGCGAAATAGCCAAAATTATGGAACTAAGCTGATTTTCCATTAGAAGCATCCTGCAACGCTACGACGGAGTCGAAAGCTTGGAGAGCGCACCTAAATCTGGGCGTCCCAAGACTTTAAGTCACCGGGAACGCAACGCGGTGATCCAAAAGGTCAAAGTGGACTCCAAAACATCATCCTCCTAGATCACCGCTGAAGTTAAAACCGAGTTTGGGAAGAATATTCATCCGCTGACCGTAAAAAGTGCCCTACACAAAACCAACTTACATTGCCGTGCTGCTAGGCGAAAGCCGTTCATATCTGATATCAATAAAAAAAGCGTTTGGCCTATGCTAATGGATATCTAAGCAAGCCAATTGAATTTTGGGATCACATACTCTTTTCGGAAGAAACCAAATTTAATATTTATCGCTCTGATGGCCGCCAGAACGTATAGAGAAAACCGAACACTTTCGCCTAGCAGCACGGCAATGTAAGTTGGTTTTGTGTAGGGCACTTTTTACGGTCAGCGGATGAATATTCTTCCCAAACTCGGTTTTAACTTCAGCGGTGATCTAGGAGGATGATGTTTTGGAGTCCACTTTGACCTTTTGGATCACCGCGTTGCGTTCCCGGTGACTTAAAGTCTTGGGACGCCCAGATTTAGGTGCGCTCTCCAAGCTTTCGACTCCGTCGTAGCGTTGCAGGATGCTTCTAATGGAAAATCAGCTTAGTTCCATAATTTTGGCTATTTCGCTATATAATTTGACTTCATTGTGCAGATGAAGGACAATTTTTCTTTGAGCTACGTTGGTTTTTTATCGCTTATTCTCAATTTTCTTAAAATTTAGGCAAATGGCAGAAAAAATGTAGATAAATTTAACTTTTTTTTAAAACTTTGTGACGCCATGTGCTTAAAAAAAGTCCCTTTTTACATTTGTTAAAAAAATAAGAACATAAAAGCCTTAAATCTAAAATAATTCAAGTAAAACTTATAGCTGTGCCAAGACTTTTGTGTCACGAAATATGGTAATTTTCTTTTAAAGTTTATATAGTTTTAAATATATGAAACAAAATAAAAAAAAAATAGGGTCATTTTATACATAATTATTTAATTTAACTATATTAAAAAAAATTTATTCAATAAAATAATGTATACGCCTGGAAATATCACTTAAAGTTCAAATTTGCAACTGTGCCAACAGTTTAGTGCGTCACTGTATGTTAGTTTTTAGTGGGTTGTAAACATTGCATATTTAATTCAACATTTTAAAGAAATTTAAATTTTATCAAATGTAGAAAATTTTAACGATCTAAGCCCTTTCCTTTCTTTGAAAAAACTAAACATTTTTAAGAAAAAATATGTTTTCAGCCGGAGATGGCCAGAAAGATTTGGCTGTTAATGCTGATCAAGAATATATATGATTTATAGGGTCGGAAATGGCTCTTTCACTGATTAAAATTATATTTTCCTCTGCAAGACTCTTGAAATCGAAATTTGTATATATATTATTATTAATAATATTAATATTATATATAACAATATATATATATTATAATATTATAACATTGTAATGGCCCTCTCTTTCTGTAGGCCTCTGTAAGCCTCTGCCTCTCGCTCTCTTTCTTACTCACAATAACATTTCGTATGCCTGCCTCCCTCTGTTGCACTGCTGTAGAGGTGGCGCTTACGCTCTATCTCTCTCTGTTGCAGCTACAGAGGTAGCTCTTTCCCTCTCTCTCTTTCTCTGTTATCTCTGATCGGGAAGTATAAATAGAGGCACTTCGATCGCCGCGACCTCAGTCTGTCCTAGGGGTACCTAGTGTTAACATCGGTAGTGATAGTGATTGTGATAACTCTTCAACCTCAAAAATATGACGTGGCCAATGGAATGCATTCGGATCACCAAGAAGAAGAACACTTCGATGAATTCATATCACCAGGAATATATTTCTACACCGAAAGGAATTAAACAATGACGAAAGATGACGTGTCCTCTACTGGGGTAAGTCTTTACTATGACAATTATTTCATTATTATATTATATACATTAAGATATGCTATAGGAGTGACCTTTACTTAATGCTGATCAAGAATATATATGGTTTATAGGGTTGGAAATGACTCCTTCAATGAATTATGGGTATAAAAATATAGATAGAATTTCCAATATATTCCAATATATAGAGACCTAAAAACAAAAATAAAAAATATATAAACAACTTCAAGTAAGAATTGCGAACGGATTTCTAAAATATTTTCTTAAAACTACTACCTCTTCTATATTTTACTATATTGGCCAGATTATTTATATAAAAAATGTTATACATATATAAATTTAGTCTTCTTTTTATGGCTCTAATGAAATCCACCGAACTAAATTCAAGATTACATGCAGTTGACTTACGAAAAAAAATCTACTCTGTTAACTATAGACCTGACAATTATAATAATGAATTTAATTCAGTGGATTCTTGGTAGTTGTTTAAAAAAATATCTAAAGTATTTTAAAGCGAAAATATTAAATTTAATGCTAAGGGATAAGGATACTGAAATTGATTATTGAATTTCTTCTAAAACAATGAAAGAGTTATAGATTTAAATAAATACTGGCAATAAATTCGATATTAAAGGGTTTTAATTTCTGATTTTCCTAGGACTAAAAAATATTTATAAATAATAAATTAATAAGAAGGTATGTTTCTCTTGAAAAGCATAGCATATAGTATAAATAAATCTCTATACATTATCTCTAATACAAATTAATTTGAGGTAAATAAATTACAATAAATAATAATAATTTAGTGGCAAGACGCTTTTCTCGATAAATAAATGTTTTAAGGAAACTTTGTTTGGAAAATTAATTCTTAAAAAAAATATTTGCATTTCAATCCATAAACTTCTAACAATAAGTATTTTTGCCAGTCAATTTCCCAAATAGTTAACAACTTTAAACACAGAAATTTGTGTATACTTTTTCTCAGTGTAGACTCACATACAGACACACACATACACACTCGCATATATAAATATATCTATATTTTGTTTTATGTTTTCCTGTTCCTCTATTTTTTGTTGTTGTTTGTTTGTTGGCTTAGCTAAATGTTGTCCTCTTCCTCCTACCATTTTCTTGTTCAACAAATACAAATTTTTTGGGTTTTTTTTTTGTGTTTATCTCGCTATTCTTGATGTTTTTGGCTAGGCTAATTTAATTTCACTAATATAATTTCGCTTCTCAATTATTACCATAAATTGTATTTAATTAACTGTTGCATACTATTCTGCGCTTCGTTTCAGTTAAATCGGGTTTTGGGCTCAGTTTTGGTTTTGTTTTTGTTTTTATGTTTTTTTACGTTGCCTAAAAAAAACCGTTTCGTTTTCGCTTGTTTCGCTTGCTCAAACATTAGTGTACAAATTATTTATAGTTAGTTATACCATTATGTATACAACAAATACAATATTACCTTTACTCTGTTAAGATTATAGTTACTTGGATTTTCTCCCACGGATTATCCATATTGTTCGGTTCTTTTTTTGTTGTTTTTTTCTTTTGCTTTTCTAACAAGTTTTCTTACTTTTTGTTCTCGTTTGTTTGGTTTGTTGCGATTGCTGGTTTTTGGTTGTTCAAAGGGAAAACAAATGCGAATTTCATTCATACTCGTGCTTCGTGCTTCCGTTTCCGCTCATTTCCGGTTTTTGCCGGCTATCGATAGTTGTATTGGTATCGGTATCGGTAACTACCTATCGGCTTACAACACTGGCCTGGCCGCATTGGGCTTGGCCGTCGTCGAGGCAATCTCCGATAACTTGACATCGATGGGCACCCGGGTGTCGTAGAGCGTCGGAGCCTGCAGGATAATTCCAGCGGTGCCCACGACCACGGCTATTGTGAAAATCCACAGGAACAGGCGGTCCAGCACCATGGCCACATATTTCCAGTCCTCTTTCACCTTTGTTTTTGGGGGGAGATAAAGAAGACAATAAGGGAAAATTATGTTAATGATGCAAAAATTAATGAATTAAGGTTTCGTTTTAAAAAAGAATTTCAACCGCATTTTCTTTTGTTTCTGATGGCCATCATTTACATGGAAATTTATTGGCTGGGCCTTTGAGTCTTCAAACCATTTGGTTGCCCGGCAATATATATTCAATATGTCCTCCAACTAATTCCCCAGTCAGACTCCAAGGACTCCAAGGACTCTTGGGAGGCTGGAAGTGAATGACACGCACTCAATGTGCTCAGAAACTTAGATGTCAAAGCTGTCTCACATCTCTCAAGCTTCAATGTTCCTGCTATATATTTCCTGATATTTAACTATAACATATAGTTAAGGGATGTTTATAAATCATAAATGATATATAGACAAAAGTATTTGCACTTAATAACAACAAAAAGTATAGCATCTCTTTTTTGACAGATTTTGATAAATAATGATTTAATGCAACATTAAAATGTTGATTTATTTATTGAGCTTTGGTTTAAAAATTGATTAAGGATCTATTTTATATTATTCCACTCTTTAGACTTTAATATCTTCAGAAAAAGATACTATCATAAGAAGCCATTTATAATTGTATTTATTTATTGTTTAAGTAGAAGAAGTTTAGTGCGGAATTTAAGAATCCCTCCCCCTAGTCTTTCATCTCGTGTCCTGTGTTCTGTGTCCTCTTATCCTGCTTCCGGTTGTCTAGGTCTGTCCATGAAGTGTCTCCCGCCTCTGCTAAGCCCCCGGAATGACATTCCAATAATGATTGAATGTGTGCGTAATTTTAATAAAATACTTTTATTGGCATTTTGTTCGATGCCACAAGAAGAAAAAAAAAACATTCATTATGATGAGTATGGCAACAGCCAGACTCGTAACTACGCAAACCACCGGCCATACACTTATGTGGCTACAGTGGAAAAAATAACGTATAGTTTATGTTTAGAAGATCACAAAAAAAGAGGTTTTTATAAAAAACAAACAAAGAAGGAAGCTAGTTTTGGGAAGATATTGCAGTTTGAAATTGTTTATAACTAATCCATTAATTTGAATTGTATTCTGTGCTAGCTTTTAATAAATTAGCAATTTGATATGGGGATTTATAAATTAATAACAAGTTCCCAGCATTTCCAAATTGTTTACATATATTTTAAATTTATATAAAATTATTTCGGCGCCAATTTTCTTTGAGTGTGCCATGGCAGGACATCGCAATAGTCCCTGCTCAATAAGGCGCATGAAAAGTCATTAAAACTTTTGCCGCAGCTGGCATAAGTTCGCCCATAGGACATATACAGGACTCGAGGACAGCCAGGACAACCAGAACAACCAGGATAGCCAGGACTCTAGGGCTCCCGGATCCCAATGGACGCGCCCGAGACTCATAGATGAAGCAACAATGCTCTAGGGAAACGCCGGAGAAAAGGTTAACAAAAGGACATCATCATATAGTGTGTGTCCTGGCAAAAGGGTAGCTCTCCTTCTCTTCTTCTCTTGCCAAGGAGTCCTGCGACTATTGACATACTAATAAATCCCGTGCTAAGGCCCCTCTAATTTATGGCATGAGGCTTGGATTTAGTTTAGTCAGGTTTCGTATATTTTATTATGCTATATCCTGGACCAACTCACCCTCGTGCTCTCCTCCTCCTTGCGCGTCTGATCTGCTATATAGTTGACCCCATCCATGGCCTTGTGCAGCTCCGGGCAGGTGTGCCACCGATGGCGGACATTGCCCCGGCCGGAGCAGCAATGGGGACCGCCCTCGCGCTGGCAGGCGGGCAGTATATCACAAACGCCGGCCGGCGGTGGCGGTGGAGGTGGGGGCGGTGGTGTTCCGGCCGCCGCCGCCGCCGCAGCTGCCGCCGCTGCTGCTGCCGCTGCAGAGGTGCTGGGTCCACCGGATGCTGCTGCTGCTGCTGCAGCGGCTGCAGCTGCAGAGGTACTGGGCCGCTGCTGCTGCTGGGAGGAATGCAACTGATGATGCATCTGTAGTGGAATCTGCTGATGATGCAGCAGCTCCGAGGATTGGCAGGCAACACCGGCACCCATGCCCTGATGTATCTGTATGGCGCCGCTGCAACAGGATTCGGCCAGCGTTGAGGCGGTGGCCACCGAGTTCACCGTCGTCGTGGACTTTATCACATTCGGATTGGCCATGCCCAGATCGCTGGTTGTTGTGGAGGCGTGCGATTGATGGGCATGCTGTGGCAGCGGCGAGAAATTGGCCGAACAGCTTGACTGCTGGCGATAGAGCTGCCCCGCGCCCTGTCCATGGCCATAGCCGGAGCCTCCATTATTGCCTCCGTTCTGACCCGTCTGGCTGGAGGTCGAGGTCATTTGGCGGAACTTGGTGGGCGTCAGCGGATGATCCAGCAGCGAGCCGCCCGTCTGCTGATATTGATTGTGATACTGGGCGTCGATCAGCGAGGATGTGGTCGAGGTCTGTTGGTTCATCGTCGACATGGTCGGAGGATACAGTGAGCTCAGATGGCCGGTGATGGTGGAGGCGCCACCCATGCCACCCATGCCGCCCATGCCGCCCATACTCATGCCCATGCCACACTCGTCGAGTAGGTTGAGTGTCTGCACGCGGTGCTGCAGGTGGGGCGAGGTGCTCCGGGATGTGGTCTTGGGGCTATGGTGCATGCTGCAAAGGGTTAAAGATATTAGTTCAGAGGAAAATGAGAGCAAAATGAAAGGGAAAGATATCTATTGTTATCTTAACTTACATTTAATAGGTATTTAATTAATATTATAGAGTAATTTCTTACCGGGACAGTGCCACCGGTGGCGGCAGCGGTGGTATTTGATCCCTTAATTCGAGTCCATTGCATGTGCGCACCATCAGGCGGCGCGAGGATTTGCTATAACAGAAAGGACAAAGGATTGGAATGGATTAGAATGTATCAAGGAGCAAGGATCAAGGACTGGGGAATCACTCACATCATCTCACTGATCGGATACAGAGGCCGGCGCATGACCAGGAAACGGGGCAGTTGGTTAATGAACACGGTCCGCACCCAGGGCGCCATTGTGTGTGTCTGCGGTGACCGGAAATGGATGTTCAGCACCAACACAGTCACACAGATGCTAAGCAGAGAGAGAAAAATAGGGATAGTAAAGATAAATATAAGAAATAATATAAAGGATATGATAATATAAAGGATATAATTAAATATTAGATATAGTATATAATAGAATATGATATATAGTATATCGAATATAAAATATATAATAGATAGTATAAAATATAATATATATTATAGAATAATATATAATATATATTATAGAATAATATATAATATATTATACAAAATATATGATATATATTATACAAAATATATGATATATATTAGCACTTCGCAGACTAATATAACTTTTAAAAGATATGATCTTCTATTATATATTTTCATAATCTTTTCTTATAGTAGATAATAATATATAATACATAGTATATAATAATATATATTATACAATAATATACAACAAAAAAGCAATTCACAGAATAATATATATTTTAAAGAAAGTGATCCTTTATTATATATTTTCTTATTCTTTTCTTATAGTATATAATAATATATGATATATGTTATACTAGATAATAATATATAACATATAAAATCAATTCACAGACTAATATAACTAATAAGATATGATCTTCTTTCATATATTTTCTTATTCTTTTCTTATGAATGATATCCTTAATGATATCCTTAACAACTACATTATTTTCCTGTACATATTTGACCCCATCCTGGGTCTCCATAATTTTCCCTACTGTTTGCCAAAGAGTCCCTTATTTTTTGCCCCAATGTGGAGAGGATTAAATGATGGGGCAGGGACAGGGGGTGGAGAGGTCTTAAGTGAGTTGCTCTCTTAGTCTGGGTAATTAACTTTCGACGCCCACGTCTAATTAGCAGCTGGCCAAGGCGTCGCAAAAGAATACGAAAGAAGTACTGGGGCAGTACTATGGGGCTAGGGTTTCCTGCCAGCCTTAATTACATCATTTGAGGCGGAGGTCCTGTTGCGCGTAACAAAACTGTGGGTACGTTGACCACATTTATTGGCCAAAAAATTAATAACTTGCGGGGTTTGGAGAGGTATTTGAAAATGGAATGTGATGAAGAAGATTTTAGTTAAGAATTGTGATTTAGTTTTTAAAAGAATTTCCTTAATAATGAGATGATTCTTAATTATAAGATGCTTGATCTTAACTTTTCTTGATTTAATATATTCCCCATATTGCTTATTAAGTTTAGGCATATGGTTTCCATCCCGGAAAAGTCTTTTAACCCATGGTGCACTGGCGATGCCATTGTTAGCCAACTCCGCTGCCCCTCTTTTGCTCGACTTTTGTTTACCAACAATTAGGCGGCCATCATTTTAGGGGGACCTTGTGGGCGTTGCAAATGACTGTAAATTGCCGCTGCCATTTAGGACATCCCATCTTGGCCTGGTGGGCGTGGTTCTAAGCCAAAAAGGAGTGGTACATCTGCCAATGCAAGTTGTATATTTCAAGGACTTTTTGGTTGCAGTCGCCGAGGACGAAAGATGCGTAACGCTATATGAGTTATTGTTAATTTCTAGAAAGTTTGAAACCAAAAGTCATTTAAAACTTTGTTTTGTTTGAAGAGTTCCTTATGAAAAAGAATTTATTTTAATAGCTTGACTTAAGCTGTTGAAAATCTTTCCTATTCCTTGGTTTGAGGGTGTCTTATGAGTTTTAATTAAAAATTAAAATGATATATAATTAGCCTTCTGGAGTTCTTAGCTTTAAACGACATTATTTAATCGTTGTGTCAAATGTTGGTCTGATCGAGAGATTGGGGAAAATCGCAAAATCGCGGAAGGAGAAAAATACCCACCTGAAGGTATCCAGTATCATGGTGAAGAGCACGAACTTTCCCAGGAGCGGGACCACCAGGGACGTGGGCGGAATGATTTCCGCCAGGAGCAGGAAGAACACAGTGAGCGACAGCAGAATGGATATGCTTAATGAGACCTGCAAATACAGTGGGAGTAAAGCGAGACACTCTGAGAAAAATCGTACAAAAAATATATATCATAATATAGTATTTAGATAATAACTATAAAATAAAACAATTTTGCATTACTTTCAGGTAGATATTGACTGGGGAAAATATAAAGTTTTGATTAAAAATATTCTAGTAAATAACTCTTGATTAATTTAAAGGAGTTTCCTAATTTTTGGAATGGATCTTAAATTAATAAATATTTGTAGAAATAAATGAACTAGAAAACATAAATATATAAAAAATAGATCTATATACATATCTATAATGATTAATTTAAAGGAGTTTCCTAATTTTTGGGATGGTATTAAAATATTTTTAAATTATTTTAATGGTTAAATGATCTTAAATTAATAAATATTTGCAGAAATAGATGAACTAGAAAACATAAGTATATAAAAATAGATCTATATACAAAGCTATAATGATTAATTTAAAGGAGTTTCCTAATTTTTGGAATGGATCTTAAATTAATAAATATTTGTAGAAATAGATGAACTAGAAAACATAAGTATATAAAAAATAGATCTATATACATATCTATAATGATTAATTTAAAGGAGTTTCCTAATTTTTGGGATGGTATTAAAATATTTTTAAATTATTTTAATGGTTAAATGATCTTAAATTAATAAATATTTGCAGAAATAGATGAACTAGAAACATAAGTATATAAAAAATAGATCTATATACAAAGCTATAATGATTAATTTAAAGGAGTTTCCTAATTTTTGGAATGGATCTTAAATTAATAAATATTTGTAGAAATAGATGAACTAGAAAACATAAGTATATAAAAAATAGATCTATATACATATCTATAATGATTAATTTAAAGGAGTTTCCTAATTTTTGGTATGATATTAAAATATTTTTAAATGATCTTAAATTAATAAATATTTGTAGAAATAGATGAACTAGAAAACATAAATATGTATATAAAAAATAGATCTATATACATATCTATAATGATTAATTTAAAGGTGTTTCCTAATTTTTGGTATGGTATTAAATATTTATTTATTATTTAAATGGTTAAATGATCTTAAATTATTAAATATTTGTAGAAAGAGTTTAAATAAACAAAGCAAATATTCAGTAAGACCTAATATATAGATATATAATATCTTAAATTCTCTTCTCTTTTGCTTTTTACGTAAACATTATTTTTTCTCTCCGTGCACCGGAAGTCGAGCACAATGAGATTTTCCCGGTGGCGTGGGGGGGGAGGGCAAAAGGACTTGAGGCTGTGGGGGCGTGGCAAATTGAGCTGCACGTCGAGCGGAAAATCTAAAGCGCCGTAAAGAAGCGACAATTGCGAACTGCGAACAACAACGGGAAACTCCCGGGCCCCCTGATAAGGTTTCTCATTTATAATGCATAAATATTGCTCAAAAACAGCTTAAGCTGCTTTTCCTACCCACTCCCCTGTGGAGAATTTTCCTTTTCCCTCGCAGCCAGCAGGTGCTTTAATAGCGGCATAATCAAAGGGAACATATCGATTACATAATGCTGGCTCACAGCTATTAGTTTTTCGAAAAAATGGAATAACCGATATTGGGGAATGAAGAAATGTGTTTGAATATGGTTAGCAAACATTTATTTAGTTAATAAAAAATTGTATAAATAATAATCAAATTCCTTGTAATAATATTGTTTTTGAATGTAAGAATTATTTAAACTCCTTTAAGTCCTAGAATATTATTCTTTTTTAAAACATATTTATCATATTCAGGCTTCTTATAAAATATAAATATTGAAATATACATGTATTTAGTGTTTCCACTGTCCAAATTTATTAATTAACATGAGCAACTTACATACATAAGCGGTTTAGTCTAATTAATATAATACTCTCATGCGACACGTGTCAAGGGAGTTAACTAATTAATACGGATTAGTAATATAAGCCAGTCGGATTTATTAATTATTATTAAATAGCTAAGCAGGAATGAGGTGGGTTTACTTTTTGTTCAGAAACTAAGCCAAGATAAAAGAATTTGAGTCCTGAAAAATTATGGGTTAATTTGGGATGAACTATGAGTAAAATTATTATATTATAACTATATTTTATTATACAAATATTATAAGATTTGGATATATAAATATTTGTATCTTGTGCAGCAGTCATTTCCGACCCTATAAATCATATATATTCTTGATCAGCAAGTCGATCTAGGTACTTCAGTAAGAAAAAATTTGTGTTTCAAATTTTTTTAAAATTTTTAAGGGGTTACATCGTTAAATTTTTTAAAAATTCGAAAATATTTCAATGTTTTTAAATTCTTAATTGAATATGCAGATTTATTAACCTGAGAAAAACTAAGATTGAAGTGTTTTTTGAATTGAAATTAATGCTTTTTTGTCCAAGTCATGAGATATTTAATCTTTGATTATTTGACAAAACTGTCATATGAAAAAATGGATAAAAGTTGATTCAAAGATTTCGAATATTTAAAGCTTTGTTATAATCGTTTTTTGATTTGATGTTCTAATTGAATTGCAAACTGCAATAATTCCCGTAATTATTAATAATAATTATACGATTTTATGCATAATTTGCCAACACAATTGTTTTAATAAAACAACTACTTTTATCATTTTGATTTTTTGAAGTTTTTCTTACACGTTGTTCATAATTTTTGAGTTCAAGAGTGACTAAAAAAGTGAGAAACTGAATACTGAATAAGGCAAGTAAGAAGGCTTATTCGAAATCAAGTTTCAAGACTCGGATAATTCTTAGAAGCGAGTCTGAGTGAAAGTTTGAATAAGTTCAACGATAAATTAATCCTTTTCTTCATTAAATTCCTTGTTTCCTGTACGATTTTACTCAAATTTCCACCGACTCCTTTAGCTTTTTCATACATTCTCCAAGGATTTGTGAACTCAAGTGTTGTATTCTTCGAGTTCTTAACGATTCCGTGGGCATTAAGATACCGAACACTCGCTTGGCCAAACATTTCGGCCACAAATCTAAATTGATTTAGAATGCAAAAGCAAATAATAAGCGAGGGCAATGGGCGTATGAAAAAGCGATTTGTCAGTCGGCAATTGCGGTGGCCTTGCCAAAGAGCTTTGGCCAACAAATCATATGCAAAGCCACAACAACAAAAAATAAAGTAAAGACCCAAAAGATATATATAAAATACACGAAATCGACGTGAAAAATGTGAAAACGCGGTGGCACACTTTTCGTTGGAGCTCAATAAAGCGCAAAATGATTTGTGCAAGGGGTGTTTTTTTTCGGGTGACCTTGAGTGGGGGTGGAAAGGTGGCAGGACCTCAGCTTATTTATGCCTAAGCTGCTCGTAATGAAGTGTGTTTGTTTGTATTCAGAAAGTAATTAAATGTCGAAAATGAGACGCGCGATTTGAGCCGCTTTCCTGATGATGCTGTGTGTGTGCCGCATAAATTTTCGATGCTTAATGATTTCATGATAATTAGCCTTAGTTTTTGGGGCCAGCACTTGTAAAGCGATTAGTGACGTTCCCTAATTAAGGTTACAACTTGCAAAAGCAAATCAAAAGCCAGATCCTTTCGACCTTTTCCCTCTAATGAAATGCACTCGAAACAAAAAATGGGAACTAAGCCAAAGTATAAATAAATAATAGAATATTTTGGGAAATCTATCATAACTAAGCTTTAAATATTCACATTCTTTGATTCTATATTTATAGATATTTTTATATGGCATTTTTTCATCAAATTAAAGTTTAAAAAATCTTATAACTAAGTCAAAAATGCAAAATGCAAATTTCAATTCGGAAAGCGGTCCTCTGTTAATTTTTATTAGGTTAATAAATCTGCATACTCAATTTAAAATCTTTAAGAATTCAAAATTTTATCAAATTTTGAAAATTTTAACTCCTTAATTTGTTGAAATAATTTGAAAAATTCGTTTTTCTACCAGAGATGGCCAGAAAGATTCGGCTGTTAATGCTGATCAAGAATATATATGATTTATAGGGTCGGAAATGTCTCCTTCTCTGATAAAAATTATATATTTTCCTCTGCAAGATTCTTGAAATCCAAATTTATATATATATTATTAATAATAATAATTATAGTAATATTATATATAATAATATATGTATTATAATATAATAAATTGTAATGGCCCTCTCTTTCTGTAAACCTCTGTCTCTCGCTCTCTCCCTTACTCACAATAACATTAGGTATGCCTGCCTCCCTCTGTTGCACTGCTGTAGAGATGGCGCTTACGCTCTATCTCCCTCTATTGCAGCTACAGAGGTAGCTCTTTCCCTCTTTCTCTCTCTTTCTCTGTTATCTCTGATCGGGAAGTATAAATAGAGGCACTTTGATCGCCGCGACCTCAGTCTGTGCTAGGGGTACCTAGTGTTAACATCGATAGTGATAGTGATTGTGATAACTCCTCAACCTCCAAAAGATGACATGGCAAATTAAATGCATTTGGATCACCAAGAAGAAGAACACTTCGATGAATTTATATCACCAGGAATATATTTGTACACCGGAAGGAATTAAACAATGACGAAAGATGACGTGTCCTCTACTGGGGTAAGTCTTTACTATGACAATTATTTCATTATTATATTATATACATTAAGATATGCTATAGAAGTGATCAGGCCTAGGTCTAGAATAAGATGAATTTATTTTCCCATTGATTTCCTTATTGCCATGGACCCCATTACTTAATGCTGATCAAGATGATATATGATTATAGGGTAGGAAATGTTTCCTTCGCTAAGTTCTGACTAAAATTATAATACCAGGCATCAGAGAAGTTAGGAAACTTTTTATTTTCGGTATCTAATCACACTTGGTTTTTTACCAATCTTTAACTTTATATTATCTAAAATAGAATAGAATTTTGACAAGTGTTTATTTTTGGGTCGAAATGGCTGCCTCACTCTCACCTCCATCACTCGGTGAGTTGGCTCATTATTTATGCAAATGCTCGGTGTAATTAAGGTGGCCAAATGCATTTCAGTTACGATTTCGGTTCAGCTTGAATTGGGTATGAGTATTGGCATTGGATTGGGGCGAAATTGTCTGCCATTGGCAGCCATCAGATGGGGACAGTTTCAATCTGTGGATGCTGTAGGTAAAACGTAATTGTTTCGGCCATAAAAATGCGATACAAATAACCGAAAGGGAATTGGGAACAGGAAGCGAGAGTCCAGTGTGGCTACTTTTGTATTGTCAGTGCAGACGGTTTCTTTAGGGCACTGGGAGAAATCATAAAAAAAATATATAAAAAATAAAGCAAATATAAAAATATATATATATTAAAAGAAGTGTTAAAAGTTACTTTTTTGATTAAAAACTACTTAATAGGAATCCAATTTACTTGTGACTTTTGTTACTCTTATAAATATATTTAGATTCTTCAGAGGATCTTAAAACTTTTAATATATTTAGCATACGAATATGAAAATGTATTACTTTTAGTCTGTGAATATCTTATATATATTTAAAAACAATAGAAATCGAGATTGTATTATACTGTTCTCATAATCCTTAAAATTCTCAACTACGAATTCCGTGCGAATATAACCCCTCAAAAGTTAGCCTTGCTGGTTCCCCTGTAAACTAATATATATATATATATATATTTTTTTTTTTTTTGGTGTGCCAACACCTGCCCCAGTTTCGCCCAAAGCCTCCCCCTTCTCTACCCCCCTTTACTTTATTTTTCCGCCGATTTTCGCAACCCCTGCAATCGGCAATTGCATGAATGAAGTGCGTTGTGGCGCATATGCATGTAAATGGGCAATTCGAATTCCAATTCTGATGCCATCGTTGGGTCGAAAACGTCTGCCCCAAAAGCGCCAGGATAAAGGGGGGAGAGGGGACGTGCCAGAGTTAACTGGCCAAAACACAATGGGAGTTTTAGTACTTTTATAGGTAGAAATTTCATTTTAAAATGTATCTTCTATGCCTTTAAACAGTTTCTGAGGGAGAATTTTTAGATTGGTTATGTTATGTATATGCTTAACAATTTGACTAAAATTTAGAGTAGTTTTTGGGCCAATTTAATCATTATTTTAAGTAGTTTAATGAGGTAAATATTGCCAAAACTTATAGTATATTCCTACATATTGAATATACTTTTGTTCTGTCCATATTCATTATTCAAATACAAATAAAATTAATTAAAAAATTATATATAATTCAAATACTTAATTTACTAGCAAAAACTGCTCATTGATCCCACTGTACAGTTGCGTCAATTTCGGAAATTCCTCTCGTAGTTCGCTTCCGCAGCTTGAGTTCAGTTTCGGTTTCAGTTTTATTTCGTTGCCTGCTTTTAGGCGTAAATATTTGAGCGCTGAGTGAGTGTGCGTGCTTGGCCATAAAAGCGACAACAAGGACACTGCCATGAAATGTGTCCACACGGCACAAATCGTAAAAGTATTCAAACAAAAAATAACTAAATAAAACAAGTATAGAAAATATAACTGACACGAATAGGTAGACAAGTAGGAGAGCTACAAGCCAGAATAATTTCTGGAATTTTTATGAGTGATTTTGATTTTTATACATGGGATTTTTGAAAAGGGTATATCATTTAATATAATTTAAGTCAGAAGTTTGCAAAGAATATAAAGATATATATATAAATTCCTAATCAGCCTAAACAACCTTGCCGATCCAAGTAAACTAGACTTTAAATTTTAAAACTATTTGAAGGAAACTTTGCAGTTAGGCTTCTATTTAATCTCACTAATATTTGGTCGGAAATGGCCGGATCGATTGACTATATCCTATAGCTACCATAGGAATGATCATTAAATGTCAAGGAAAATGCAAAACTGGATCAGTGAATTTAATAAAGAAGTCATTATTTAGATGTTTCTTTTACATATATATAATTTATATTTTATTAATTATTAATGATCGAATTGCAATTTGCAATGGTAAACAAACTTTGGCGGGCGGAAGTTAGTTTCGGTTCATAATAAAATATAATATAATATTCATATTATCATATTAATTAATATTAATATTATTATATAGATATATATAACATTAATATACAAATATATATATAATAATATTTAATATATAAATATATATTTTTATATATTTTTGTATTATTAATAATAATATATAAATTATAACATTATAACATTGTAATAGCTGCGATTAGCCTACTCTCGCTGTCTCTTTCTGTATGCCTCTGTCTCTCGCTCTCTCTCTTACTCACAATAACACTTGGTATGCCTGCCTCCCTCTGTTACAGCGCTGTAGAGATGGCGCTTACGCTCTATCTCCCTCTGTTGCAACTACAGAGGTAGCTCTTTCCCTCTCACTCTCTTTCTCTGTTATCTCTGATCGGGAAGTATAAATAGAGGCACTTCGATCGCCGCGACCTCAGTCTGTCCTAGGGGTACCTAGTGTTAACATCGATAGTGATAGTGATTGTGATAACTCTTCAAGCGCAAAAAGATGACGTGGCAAATTAAATGCATTCGGATCATCAAGAAGAAGAACACTTCGATGAATTTATATCACCAGGAATATATTTGTACACCGGAAGGAATTAAACAATGACGAAAGATGACGTGTCCTCTACTGGGGTAAGTCTTTACTATGACAATTATATCATTATTATTTTTTATACATTAAGATATGCCATAGAAGTAATCAGGCATAGGTCTAGAATAAAATGTGCTGACTATGCAATTATTTTCTAATTAATTCCCTTATTTACTTGGACACCATTACTTAATTATGTTTCTAAGTGATACAGCAATTAGTATTAGGGATTTATACAAACGTATACTCAAAGTTAACATTCTAACTTAATATAAAATATTTGTAATTATTGAAATCTTAAAACCTAACTATAGTTTTAAATTAGACTCTGGCTGCGGCGCCAATTTTGCCTACATTATTAGACCTTTTCAGGTTAATATAATTTTAGTCAGAAGTTTGCAAACTGAATGCTACCCTAATTTTAGGAGATTCCCAAAGTGACTCTACTGGCTTAGTATGACCTACACATTCGATCAAACAAGTAATTTGAATACGTGAATTACGAGTACTCAGAGCACTGGGCGGTGGTCCCCTAAACTCGATAATGCACACGCAAATGGCAAAATCGGGAATTTACATAATAAAGACCAACTGGGGATGGCCCATCAAAATGCTGTCAATATTTTTTACATAAATAATGCTCCATGAGCGATGTGAAAATGTCCGATGGCATTAGCATCCGCATCAGCATCCGCATCAACATTGGAATTTTGTATCATTTTTTTATTCGTTCATAATCCACAAACCGCTTGCGTACACAAATTATTTTTGCATTTTATTTATTTTGAAAATTGGCCATAATTTATTCATAAGTCGCAGGCAGCATGTAAATGTTTATATTTATGCATTATGCCATTTCGTGATCGTTTTTCCAGCTTGGTTTCATTTTCATTTTAGGGGGTACAGCTGTGTGCATGTAACAGGGTATTGAAAGTCTTATAATTTAATGAAATTTTCAAAATAAATGCAAAGTAAGTAATATATAAATACGGAATGCAACTATGGAATCATAAATAAGTCATATTTCAAGCGAATTTCCTATTATTTTATTGTTTTAAAAACATAAAATGGAATGAATTTTGCATTCACACTCACAATGCTTTTGAATACACCGGGTAACTCACAGGCGAGTTCACTCGACTGCAGCTTTCTTACTTGCTTTTTTTCTTTTGTGGTTTGGCATTAAATTGAAGGCATCGTGTAATTTTGTTTACTCAATTTTAAATGATGGCAAAAACCAAGGGAGAAACGCAAAATCAACACAGAAACAAAGCGAACCAAAAACAAAAAACACAAACAAAATGTTTAAGTAAAAAAGGAATAAAATGTTAAAATGCATTTTCATTTTCATTTGAGTGTGAAATTATTTTTGTTGTTGCTGGTTTCTTTTTTCTTGTTGTATTTTGCTTTTTAATTAAAAGCACATTTTGTTGGGGCAATGGAGCTGAGCTGGCAATAAATTATGGCAATTTGTTTAATGAAAATAACCAAAAAAAAATAATAATATCAGAATTGTATAAAGCGCAGATGGGAGCCGAGGAAATTGAGAGGGAAAATGGGATTTCAAGCTAATGCATTCAGTATTCTAATGGTTAATTTTTACAATAAACCCAAAGCCATAAAATGAGATAAAGCTTTTAAAAAGTGACAATTATAGTGTTAATTTTAGTAAATCAAAGTTATGCTTTATATTGGATCTATTGGGATTTGGAATTAAATTTTAATAAAAGCATGAGAGTATGTTAGGATTACATGCTAAAATCTTGGAATTGTATATTATTTTTGTAATATTTTATATTTACATTTATTATATATATTTTATTTAAATTTAAACCCACCTTCTCGCCACTGTCCGATGGCAGATAGAACACCAGAATGGTAAGGAAACTGATGCCCATGCAGGGAATGATCAGGTTAACCGTATAGAAAAGCGTTTTCCGGCGCATTGTGATGTTAAAGGTAATGTCCAGATATGGCTCATCGCAGCAGGTATAAAACTTTTCATTTCTGCAAAAGAAAAAGAAAATATATTAAGTGTAAGTATAAGAAATAGTGATTAAGATTAATAGTCATATATAAACCTTGGGTTTTAGTTTCCTATTTCATTAAACCCTTTCCACTTGAGTTTAACGAAATTATAAATATTTAAATTGAAATTAAACCACTCAAAGTTGATGTTTTTTTTCTATATTTTCTGAACTATAACTTTACAACTTTAATCCATTTTCAGTTCGACAGTTGTGTTTTGAGCTTTTCCATTTATTTTCCTTCTTTTTTTCCTTGACTTTTTTAAGTCCCCACTCAACCTATGCATAATTTATAAGTTAATTATCTGCTCCAACCGGAAAAAAGAAGCAAAAACAGAAGCTGATGTTGGGAAACAGAAGTTTCTATACCCTCTAAAGTTTACTTTAGTTAAAGGTAAATAAAAATACATCAGTGAAATACAAAATAATATAATAAAATAGGTCTTAAATTAGTACAAGCTTCAGACTTAAATAATAAAACCCTTTAGCAGAGTATTAAAAATATACAACAAGCGAAAATGTTTTGTAAATTGAGTCAAGCAAACTTTTTGTTATGTTTTTTAACTCTTGTTGCAAAAGGACACGGAACAAAGAACATAAGAAAAAATACAACAAAATATATACATTTATATATAAAAATAAGGGAAATATTATAAGTGGCAAGGAAAAAGGGGTAAGATTGAAGGCAGAGAAAGTAAAGTGTGGTTTCCACCAGGACCCCCGCAATTTTTCCGTTGTTGTATATGGCCGAGCCATCAATAATTCTGAAAGGCTTGCGGCTTCATTTTGAATAAGAAAATATTGTAAATAAATAATAAACAAGCGAGGAGAAAGGATAAAGTTAGCAAAGGGTTGGCAAAGACTGGGACTGGGACTGAGCACTGGCGGAAGGACACCAAAAAAACAGGAATGTGGCCGGCAGGCAACTAACTGCTTTTGGCAGTTGACTTCCCTCCAAATAGAAATGAAGTATGTGGCAATAGGCCACATAGAACGGGGAAACTATGGGGCAAAGGTCGTGGAAAACGAGATGCTTTCCCCAACACACAGACACAGAATCCGGCATTGAAGGCCAACATCTTGTGGGTTAGTTTTGATGGCTGCAGCAATAAAATATAATTTGCCAAGGCAATTCCGAATGTCAGTCACTCAAATGGGGACAGGAACAGGATGAGGGGAAATGTGGGGGTGGGGGGTTGAATCTGAAAGATACAAATGTACAAGATACAAGGGAGAGAGGGAAAATGCCTGGGGTCTATATAAGATAGAGGAAGATATTGCATAAAGGTATTATTTATAATGTTTACTAGGTTTCCCAGGAATTAGGTTTCATAAATCTATAAAAATGAAGGTATGTTATATGGAAAAACAATGGAAAACCCTGGAAAAACTGCTTATTAAATAATAAACATTAATGCTAAACAACATTTTACTTATTTTCTGTAAGGTAAAGTTAGGTTTCATAAATCTATAAAAAATTAAGGTACGGTATATGGAAAAACCCTGGAAAACCCTGGAAAAACAGCTTACTAAATATAATAAATATACAACATATTACTTATTTTCTGTAAGGTAAACTAAAGTTTACTGATTGATTTACGATTATGTAAAGGCTCTCCCCTAAGTCTCTATTAAAATTGCATTTAACTACACATTCTAAGACCCAATATCCTTCAAGCTCATGTGGATAGCTTGAAATTTTCCCCTTCCCACCCCCTCGGAAAATGTAATATGGCCCGCAGATTAAGTCTGCTGAACTGAGCTTTGGTCAATGGGCCGTGGAGTGTACGGAAAATCGTGGGGATTCCCCCAGCCAGTTTACCATTTCCCATCTTAGAGATAAGTCCCACGCAGGAATTCTGGATAAAAGAAGACGAGGAGGTCCTGTTCCAGGACCAGTACGTGTAAAGGTCAGTATAATAAGCTCGACGAGTTGACTTTGGTTTGGCTAGCAACCGCGATGGCAAAACATACCATAAATCATAAAATAGGCAAGAAAAAAACACTCACACCAGGACTCACACTCACACTCACACCCGCACCCACACACTCACACCCGCACCCACACACTCACCAACTGAATACAAACACATATTCGCTACACGCGCAAGGATACGGCGCCGGGAGATGGCGCCATATAGGCAAAAAATAAAAGAAAGAAAATAAAGCAAAAGAAACAGCAGAAAATCAGGGAAAATAGAGAAACGACTAGAGAACTCGAAAAACACAACAAATACCAGCTAAGACCAGCAAAACTTCTGTTTGATTTGACTCCCAGGCACATAACACTCCCCATACACACACTCCTCCTTCACACACAAAATACCCATCCCCGGGGCCAAGAATCTGAAATTGGCAACAATTCATCAATGCGTTGAGCCACGCTGCGTATGCGTAATAAAGGAAAATACACACACACACACACACACACACAGAGAAAAGCAGAAATGGGCGGAATATATATATATATATATACGAGTCATTCGAATGAATTGAAGTTTTCAACACCCTGCCCACATTTTGACTTTGACTTGAAATCTTTTTTGAAGCAAAATACAGACTCTTAATTAAAGTGCTATCTTTATTGTCAAAAAAAAGAAAAATTTGCTTGTTTTGACATGAAATCTTAACTAAATTATAAGAGTATTTGGGTATTGAAAATTCTAGATGAAAAGTCAATAATTGCTAGGTAATTTAATTGGTATTTTTATTGCTAAAAGAGGAAATAATTGTTTGTTTTGAAATGAAATCTTAACTAAATAATAAGAGTATTTGGGGATTGAAAATTCTAAATGAAAAATCAAAAATTGCTAGGTAATTGAAAAAAAAAAGAATGCCAATTAAAACAAAAATAAGAAAAGTAAGCTAACTTCGGCACACCGAAGTTTTTAGACCCTTGCAGATAGAACTTTAATCACTAGGAATTAATATAAAATAAATTACATAAATAAGCTTAAATTAATTAAAATAAATAAACCTAATCATTGCAAAACATTGCAAAACCTCGCAAAAACATGGCCGCCCTTCAGTATCGTGGAGCAAACCCTCCCTCTCGCGGCAGCTGTTGGAACTTAGTTGCTCCACCTAGCGATATAAAAGTGAGGACAATATCGATAACTAAAATACTAGATCGATACATTGCTATCGTATACTAGTACTAGTTTTACATCTCTAGCTTCAAAATGAAAGACATAAAAAAGAACGAAAAGACCTCCGCGCCGGTAAAATGTGAAATAAATAGAAAATTAAAGCGTAAAAACCAGTGGTAGATGCCAAAAAGTGCGTGAAAACAGCGAGCCCCACAGTGAAAGTGGGGGTAGCTGGGACAGAGTCGTGTTTTTTGTAGTTTAATTCATTTAAAGCCACGATCAGTGCGGTATTTGTTGGCTAATTCCTTTTTGTTGTTTTTTTTGTATGTGCAAGTGCAACAACTGCGATCAAAATGTGTGTGTTTAGTGTGCGCAATATCGTCTAAGGTCTTTTTCGTTCTTCTTTTTGTCCGCGCTTCGTTTAATAATTCGCCGTTGGGATCTACAGTAATGCGCAATTTATGTGGGTGAGTGAAACAACACTATTTTGCTTATTTGCTTTATCCTCGAACTTCTCTGCCCTCTATCTTTGTTTTGATCCCGTGGAGCGTAAGTGGAGCCTAAGAGCGAAAGCTTCACTCATTAGATACGATTCACTTTTGTGGCTCTCAATTTTGGCATTTGGAAAGCTGGAGAACCGCGTTTGTTTACCTTTTTTATTTCTTGGCAATTAAAAAAAAATACTACGGGTTAGCGAAACTTGACGGAATTTTTACTCTTACAAATATCTGTTCTAAGCCTTATTTTAGTATATATATTTTTATTTAGTAATATATTTAAAAGTAAGAACACTTCCCGGACTTATTATAATTTTATTCATCAGTAGGTTTTGATATTCCAGAGAAAATGTGCATTTTATGTATAAAGTTCTCTTATCTCTTGTTTCTCAATTATATGAGAAGGGTATGGAATTTATTTTATGTTTTATATGGATAGGGTAGGGTATTAAAATGTACCACACAAAGTTTTAATAAAACTCTTCTAGAGTCTTGTTTCTATAAAATTGTTGCTTCTTTTATCTTTGAGTATTAAATATGTAAATATATTGAACTTTCTTATAAAATATTTTCCCTGAAATTTTAGGCTAAAAACTTTTAGTATTTAATTGCAAAAATTTTACTTTTAAGTCGATCTTCTTAGCATAGATCCGCTAAATTTGATTACAAGTTCTAAAATATATCAACAAATTCCCAAATAGTGCAGGGAATTTATGCTCTCTTCAGGCACTTTTTATTTAAATAAATTATTTGCAAAGCCAAAGTGAATGTGGAAATGCTCAAAGCCGAGAGGGGCAACCACTGCTCGTTCCTCTTTTCCACTTTTGCGTGAATGATTTTCTAGCGAAACAGATTCGAAATCAAATGTTATTTCGATTTTTTTCGTCGGGTTTCAAATGCAAAAAGGAACAACAACAAAAATTAAGTGAAATTCCAGCGAAATTGAATGGGCAACATACAAATACATATGTATATATTTTTTTGGGGGGACTTTGGTTTGGGGATACCGCATTAAAGTGACCGAAAATGGCCAAAACGTTGATTGACAACGGGGAATAGGGGCCAAACAGCTTGCTGATTGGAGTCAAAGAACAAACGCATAAATACGAAATGATTGGCAACATAAAAAAAACAGAGAGAGAGAGAGAAACGAAGACATTAAAGGGAGCTGAAAGAAAAGCAGCTTTTGGATAGACCAAAGGCAGTCTTAGCCGCAATAGGAGCAGCTCCTAGCCATTACCACCTACTCAAAGGGAAAGGGAAAGGGAAAGTGGAAAGTGGAAATAGGAAAGCAAAAAGGAAAGGTCTCAACGCTTGATTGATTCCAAAAACTTTTTGCCAGAAAGTTCTCTATGAGCTTTCAAGTGTTTTTATGCTTTGCTTTCTTATTTTTCTTGTGCACCGAGAGAAAACTACATAACAATCTATTTCATATGGAAAACTAAGCCGAATTTTTACCATAAACTTCTTAAAACAAGTCAACAAAGTTTGTTAAATGTTTAATCCTTTTAAATTACAAACTTAACTAATTACTTTCTTTATTTTCCTTGAATATCTTTCAAAATATTGATTATTTTTGCTTGGTGTATGGCATATATTTTTCTTTAGATACTCTTGATTCCAAGACCAGAAATCAAAGTAAGTAATAGAATTTTAAAAACTAACATAAACACGCTTCGCTGCATGACTTGAAGAAAATGAAGGAAATCATTTTGGAATGAGAAAAACAGGAAAACCCTCCTCCTCCCCCAAGGCTTGCCAATTGAGGTGAGACCGCAAAGGCGAAGGCAAAGGCAGAGAGTCTCTGGAAAGTTTGCTAATTATGATTTTAATCGATCTGTGATAAAGTTTGGAACCTTAAATTCAGCTAAGAATTTGTGCCCAGTAATCAAGCCTTCTCGGTTTTGGGGGAAAGGTAGAAGAGAGCTGGAAAAGTTTACCAAAGACAAAAAAAAAATGAGGGAAAAATGTTTAGGGGAGACATCTCTGGGTGTATGTGCTCTGCGTGTTGATTTTATGTCGTAAGACCCATTGCGGCAATTAAACAAAATACAGCCCCCAAGGGGAGTTGAAAGTTGGGAATACGAGCAGGACAACGAAAGACGACTCAATAAGTGTATTAAGGACACATTGGGAGTCCTTTTTCGCCTTTTGGGACCAGTTAAAGACTTTAATGTTAAAACAGTTAATTAGCTTGTAAAATGTACCAAGGAGTTTGTGATAAATCAGCAGTTAAACTACTTAATCCCTGACAACTTACCGCACTTGCTTAGGAGAAAAAAGAAAAACCTATAAACCTAAAAATTGTTAGCCTAGGAACTATCATTATTACCCGGATCTCTGATTGGAAGAAAAGGGTTTTTGAAAGAGGGGAATAAGCAACGTTAATTTATGACTGCCTTCACTTTCAATTTCGATTACGTCCTTAAGTCTTTCACTCTTTCTCTCTCTCTCTGAGGAAGTTGCCTCGACTGGTGGCCAGCTGGCAACCTATCGCACCTGTCCCACCTGTCAATCAATGCCGGATTGCCTGCTCCGCTCCGGTGAATCCCCTTCTTGGTTAGTGGTGCTGCAGCACCTGTACGTGCTGTGGCCAGCCACGCCCCTCATTTTCGACAAGTCCTGCGGCCCAGCGTCCTACGTCCTTTGCCCTTCAGTTAATTTAACTGTCGATGCGCATTAAAACTGAATCCTGTTCGGTCTGTACACAATTTTGCAGGGGAATGGGAAGGGGGTATAATAAGATGAAGGAGGGTTTTCGGAGGTGTTACGAGGTCCAGGCTTCACAGGAAAATTGCTCTACGTGCTGTGAATTGTGTTGCAGCATTTTAGGCGCAGCAGCGGCAGCCTGCACACAATAAAAGCCACCAAGGGAGTAGGCCAAACAGATTCCAAAGCTGGCATAAGGAATGAAAAAGGGGCAAGGTATTTACACTGGGAATAATTAGGAAATAATATCACATTCCTAGGATATAAAAGTTATAGTTTTAAGGTGTTTTAAAGGCAATAAATCATTTAGTTTAAGCAAATGTATAGGCTTGTTATAGGAAAGCTGCTTGGGGAGTATTGGTTTATAAGTATATTTCCTTGTTCTGCTAGCTGCTTCTCCCACAATTTTTCTCAGTGTCACACACACACACACACACACACACACATCCCTACAGTTATTGTGAGTCACGCACTTGTGGCATAATTTACTGCGAATGCTGAACGCCAAAGGAAGAAAAAATAGAACCAAACGCCCAACCATAATCATACTCGCAGACTTTGGCACACACTCACATCTATATTAAACACACACTCAGGCACACACACACACAACAAAATATATACACAAATACTACACACACTCACACGTAATTGAAGCTGTCAACTTTTTAATTCCCGTCAATGACTTGAGCCCCCCATCAGTTTCAGTTCTTAGTTTTGGCCAAAGGTCTCGACATGCTGTTGATACCCTGGCTTAGGGTATTAGAATGTAAGCAGGAAGTTTTGATACGAGCAAGGAAATATTAGCTAGGACATTAAATCGTTTATATATATATATATATATATATATATATATATATTTATATTCTTTTGAAAGGTTTAAGAGTTATATAGAAAGGAAACTATATTTTCTTAAAGCAGGAGAAAGGTTTTCCAAAGAGTTAAAAGAAGCAAGCCATTGTTTTGATTTAAAAACATATAATATGTGTAATAAATATAGTAACAAATTTAATATTTAACAAAATATTAAATAGATTATTTTATATATATTTTATTGTTTTACTTCTTTTTATATTTATATGTTAGAGCATTACTACCATCCCAGATATCTTAACGTCTTAAGTACGTGCATTTCAGTTTAACATTGTCATTGCCGTTTCTGTCACGTTTCACTTATGAAATATGGTGGAACACCTCCTTCTCCTCCCCCCTCAGGAAATGTGGGTGTTATCAGGTGTGGGAAAAGGACAAAGAGCAAACGAATTAAGATCCTAGGATTTTGTCTATTTCAAATATTCATGGGTGTCATCAGAAAAAGTATTGTTGTTCAAGTAATGGGTTTACTTATTCTTTTGTTTTGTGAAATGATTCAAAGAATTCTTATGATAATTAATATTAAATTGTATGAGTTTATTATTTAATTATATTAAAAAACGTGTAGGAAAGTCCCAATATTACAGAGACACAAAGTTATTAACTAGATACCCAATTTAATTAGCCTAATGAAAAGTGTTTTCAAACTGAATTCACCGAGTTCATCCAGCACGTGTCATCAGCTAATTAATAGCACTCAGCAGTGTTGCAACTGTCGTATTGCCCGCACCTGAAATAACCCCCTTAGAACACCCCTCTAAAAACCCCCTTAAAACCCCCTAAAAACCCCTCTAAAAACCCCCCTAACTCACCTGTTGTCTGCGCTAACGAACCCAAGATTCCCAACAAAGTTGCGCTAAGTGAAACAAAAATTTCCTGTTGCCTTTTGTCTGGGGCTAATGCATTAAAGAGGTCCTATTTCTGGAAATTTCATTCCATATCCTTTCTCCCTCTCTCTCTCTCAACCCCTCTCTCTCTATCCCCATTGTGTGCACACAAGCGTGCCTTTGGTTTTCTCTAAAGAATGGGGCGTGGCAATTAGGATACCGCCTCCAGCATCACAGAAGCAAATTTCATTTTGTAAAGAAACTGATTGGACTAGGAAAATGTTTTATATTTAAATACAAAATATTACAAAAATAAAATTTAAGAAAATACAAATTTTTATAGCATGAAATATAGGTTATATATATTAAAAATATCAAGACAATATTATAATCAATTACTTATTAAAAGAGTTCAAATCTTATTTTAAATTTAAAAGCTTTCCATAAAGAAATTAAAGATATTAATTCTAAGGTATGATGAATTTCCCTGTCTAAAGCTAGTTTCTTTCTATATTTTTAAATATTATTAATAATACCTATTAATGTCACCATAACTGTACGCACACACCCATCGACATGTGTCTATATGCCTGACCATTTCGGGTAACCGGAAAAGACAGACACCAAAAAGCAAAAGTGCTCTTCTGGAATATATGTACGTATTTATATGTATAATTTTCGGTGTTGCTCTTGTTTTTTGCCTTGGCAGCTCCTTTTGCCAAAGTTTTTTAATTTAAAAACTTCAACAGGAAAAATGTTATAAGCAAGAGGGGGAGGGGTGCAAATTGTAAATAACGACCAAGCCCCCTTCGTGTAGAAAATCTGCCCACGCCCCTGTCGTAAGATCATCGTCGACCGGCAGCTTTATCATCTTGTTGCACTCAGAAAAAAGGTTCAACAAACTTTAAAACATGTAAAATATGTATTACATTTCTTAAAATATAAATGAAAGTAAAGCAGTATTTATGAATTATAAATTTTAAGAGTTAAAGCACAGCTAACCTTTAAGAACTTTAAACCTCTTAAATTACTAAACATTATTAAAAATAATTATGAATCAATATGAACTAATAATACTAAATAATGAAAAATATGTTTAGTATTGAGTTTAAATTACACCCTTTAAGAAAAGCCTTGAAATTTACTAACTTAAAACCTGTTGCATAATTTTCTTTAATGAGAAAATTAAGTGCTGATTTTCTACCTGTTTCATAATTTTCTTCTGTGACACAATTACGTCCTAATAGCTTCTGCATTCTCTGCTGATTTCCATGTCTTTAAGAATGTTTTATTATTATTTTGTATTTATTTATTTCTTATTTATGTCAGTGTAAATTTCTCTTTCTCTCAACGGTAAAAACTTGTATCCTTGACCTACGTATGTATGTGTATTACTGCACATAGCGTGCGTCTAAAATCCAAAAAAAGAAAGATTTGTGTTTGTGTTTTGTGACTGCGTCCAAGGAACTTGCCAAAGGAGTTTCTGTTTCTGCCAAAAATAATTGTTGTTCTTGTTGTCCAGGGGTGTGTGTGTGTGTGCTGGGTGTGTGTCCTGTGTGTGTGGGTGACTGCACTTACCTCACTGCTGGAACTTCAAGGATATCCCATTCGACAGACGTGTAAAATTCGGACAGATCCACGCCTACCTCAACGACATTGGTGCCGTTCAGCTCGTCAATGTGTCGCAAATCCACCTGTAAGATATTAATTTATAGTAATTAATTGATTATTAATTGATTATTATAATTTAAAAATATATTTGTATAGTAATTTGTTGATTCAAAAAATCAGAGAGCTTGAATACCATTGCATTTTAAGTATTTGAATATAGTAAGAAGATTTTAACTCAAGGAAGGAGTCATTTCCTACCCTATAAATCATATATATTCTTGATTAGCATTGAAACCCGAGTTAAACTAGCCATTTCCGGTAGAAAAAAATTTTTTTCAACAATTTTTCATTTTAATAAAAAAAGAAAAGGGGTTACATCGTTAAAATTTTCAAAAATTGGCAAACATTTTTATTTTTCCATTAAGTATGCAGATTTATTAGCCTAACAAAAACTAGCATGGGTCTGCTTTTCGAATTGAAATTAATGCTTTTTTGGCTTAGTTATGAGTTTTTTAATTTTTGATATATCGAAAAAATTGTCAAATAAAAATATCGATAAATATCGATTCAAAAAATGTGGATATTTTAAGCTTAAGCTTGCAAACTGCAAAGGGTATATAAACTTTGGCTTCCTGTAGTTAGTTTCCTTTTTTGTTTTTACATAAATAAATTAATTTCATATATATACAATGTATATATGTATCTTGACCATATTCCTTGACACGCAAGAAAAACAACAACATTACCAAATTGCCAACACAACAGCCGCACAGAGACAACACGAAAACATGTGCGATGGCAGAGAAATCGAAGAAAAGTTGGGCAGGAGAAAAGTCTGAGTGAGTGGGGGGGTTGGGTGGTGAAATGGGGGTTGCCTGAAGCAGGATGCAGGATGTAGGATGCTGGGTTGCTGGGTGTGTGCTGGTTGCATCGATACCAAAATGGACAAACATTCGAAGGCCGCACTTCGATTTCAGTTTCAGTTTTGCTTAGTTCGGCACGAGTGCAGCTGACAGGACATGGACATTGGATGCTGGATGCTGGATGCTCGAAGCTGGATGCAGGATGCAGGATGCAGGACATGGAGCTTTTGGAGGACAACACTGCAATTGGCATGCCACCGCACACACATGCATTCACCTGCCCAGACAGGTGTGTGCGGACTCCTGCTGTCTCTACTCGCCAAAACTCCCCAAACCCCATCCCTGGGGCTGACATTCCTTTGCCTTTTCATCTCCTTGACTACTGAGAGTTTTCCCTTCCCCGAGAGCTTCTGGGCAAAGTATTTGACATGGGATTGCAACACTCAATGACGGCCAAGTGGAGTGGTTTAATCAAACTCGATTCCTGGCATTCGAGCACTGGATTTTCACAGGATTCTTGACAGATTTTCTCAGAGTACTTTTGAGGTCATTATTGGGGTTCAAAGTCTCCCGGAAGTTGTAGTTTTTGAATTATAAGTGATATTATTTGGAGAAACTCACTGTTTCTAGATAATTTTTATTAATAACTAAGTTGATTTAGACATGAAAAAGTTTCGTTTATTAATAAATAACTTCTCAATACATTCGTTAAGTGAGATAATCAAACTTTCCTCTATTATTTTTCACTTCCTCTCCCAAATAAAGACTTTCTTTTCATTGACTGCATTTTCCAATTTGCTGGTTCAGCTTTTCGTTTGTGCATTTTGATTTCTAAATATTAACCCGCAAGTGCATTCTTTCCACCATCAGCAAATGTTTTTCCTCCTTTTTTTTTTTGTAGTTTTTCCTTGTTTTTTGACTTCTACCGAATTTCCCAAAGCATTTTGTCTGCAAATTCACACCTCAACGCTTTTTGCATGGCGGGAAAGGAGTTTGTAAGCGCGAAATAGGAAAAAAAGTGCTAGGAGAGGCAGAGATAGAGAAAGGTAGGGAAGAAAGAGAGGGGCGTAGGGGGTGAAGGGTGGTGTGAGGGGGGTGAAGGGTGGTGTGAGGGGGGTGCTGTCAGGTAACTTGCTTCCAGGTGGCACCTGACGTCGAAGGGTAATTTTCCAAAGGTGGGCGGGTTGAGCAAGCAAGTAAGAGAGTGAAATTCGAAAAGTGACGTTAATACGATTTTTCTCGCTTCTAAGCACCCTATCTCTTTCTAGCCAAATGCTGTCCCTGTTCGACAGGGCTACACTTGAAAAAATAATGGGTTAATTTATTAGGTAATTCTGAATAAGAAAATATATACTTTAACGGGTTTACTAGGACTGCTTTTGTTACATTCATATAGTTTATGATGAAGCTTAGTTTTAATAACTTTCTTGAGGGATATTGGAGTCAATATAGAAATATAAATAAAATGTATTAATAAATTTAAGAATTTCAGAAAACAACAAGTACATTTTCTATAGAATTTCTTAAATATTTATACAGATTTTTTATATTTTCCAAACTCTTTCTTTTAGCTCTTTTTTGTTTGAGCCTGTTTCCTGTGCAAACTCAAGTGTGAAAATTGTGCCTATGAGCTGGCTGCTGCCTTTTGTTCGACACACACACTCACACACACTTGATCTTTCCCAGCAATTTTCCCGAATTTTCCAATTTTCTTCCCCCCTTTTTCCCCCATATTAAGCTTTTGGTGTTAGTTTCATTGTCGCTGAGACTGAGACTCAATGAAAGTACAGAGTGAATGCAGCTTGGTTGGGAGTGGGAGTGGGAGATGTTGGGGGGGAAATAATCAGCAAAGGACTCCACCACTTGGCAGGTGCAATGCCACAGATCCTGCCGATACTAATACAGTTACATGATGCTGCCTGCTGGATTTGCAGAAGCGGAAATTGTTATTTTAAGTGGTTGCGGAAATTTCGCTATAAGGAAGTGATGATTTAATGAAATATTTCCGCTTTCAAGGAGATGAAGGATGAAGGATTCAAGGTGTACTATCTTTTTTGCATTTGGGTATGAATATATATATCTTTGGATATATATTTGTATATGTATGTCCCTGGGAGACCATTTGAATAATTTGTAGCGACTCTGTGTCTGGATATCGCTCATTTTGTGGTTGATTTATGCCTGATGTAACATACAATGTACAACAGGAACAACGCACAATTTACACGACAAAATATGCATACACTGTACAAAATTTGGGGTCTATTATATTTGAGGATTTTTGATTAAAAAGTAAATGAGTATTTTAATAATGTATACAACTTTGAAGATGCAGAATTGTAAAGTTCCACAAGCAATGTATCTTTCCAAGAAGACTCACAACTCATGAATAAAATACTTGTATTTATTTCTTTCAATTCTTTGATTATTGAATATATTAATAAACAAACTATCCCTTGTTTTTCTGAGTGTACTCACACACCTGTGTGCTTTTCAGTCCCCCCGATCCAAGCCAAACTTCGTGTCAAATGCTTGTTAGCGCCTTTGCCTTTTTAATAGTAAATGAGCATTTAGCTTTTTACCAAATTAGTCGACTGTGTATCTCTGTCTCTGTGTGTGTGTGTGTGTGTGTGTGTGTAGTTTTAACCAGAGCGAGAGAGAGAGAGAACCCATCAGAGACAAAGCTGGCAATATATATTGTCCTAATTGTTCCGACAATTAAACAAGGCAGCAAAGTCAAGTTAAAGGCAATGGAAATAGGTCGATTCAGAGAGGCATCCTTTATCCTCTATCTCAGCACTTTCCTCTGGCTCTGCCTTTGCTAATTGAGTGATTGAATTGAATTAGGAAATTCACAAACTTTAGACTTTAAATAGGCTTTAATGTGTGCCATTAAAATGTCAATATTTTCATAGACAGACTTAAGACAGTTTTGCTGGGAATTAATACATTATTCACTGCCAGGTTGCTAGAAGCTTAATTCAAATTCAAAGTATATATACATGGAAAGTGTTTATGACAAGCTTAGAACTTATTAAATTATTCAGCAAATGAAGTGTGGTATTCAATAATAAATTTAGTGAATTTAAGTTTGAGAGATTTTCTTCTATATATTCAACTGATTTCAAGTTGATTTAAATTTGTTTGCTTAGCCATTGGAACCCCACTCAAGCGCGAACCTGGCTAGCGATTTTATGACCTGGCTGTAATGCAGCTCAGTAGATGCATGTGGTTAACCCATGGTTGCCGTTTTTTGGCGAAAAGGGGAAAGAAGCCTAGCCTAATGCCAGTTCATTATTAGCTGGCAAAGCCCCCAACCGCAAAACCGAAGCCACAAAAGCATCCATCCGAGGGGTGCTCCTAGAGCACTGAGAGAAAAGGTATCAATAAGATATAAAGCAGGGGTATAGTGACCTAAATTTGTTTCTCCAAGTGCATTCGTTTTCTTTTTTGGGGGAATTTTACGAGTTTGCCAACATTCTCCAGTCAGGTGTCAAGCTCTCTTAGGGTCTCTCTGCATATTTCCTAGCCCGTCTCCAATTGGTTGTCCCTTCATCCTTTCCAGGTGTGTGGTTCTGGCCACCAAAAACCACTAGAGACATTTTTATGAAGCTTCCCTGTGGTCGACTGTCTATCCCAAGCCCATTCCCATTTCCATTCCCATTCCGTGACCATTTCCATTTGACAAGCCATCTCTTTCATTGTTGCTCTCTTTGTCTCTCTCTTTGGCTTGTATTTTGCGGCCATAAAACATGAGAAATTCTATGCCAGTGCTCCAAAAGGAATTATGACCGTATTTCGGTTTATGACCACTAAACCGGGCTCAGAGACACCTACCGAGGCCAAAGAACGCCCAGGTGAGCAGCAATTTGTAAATGTGTAAATGAGATGGCTCCTGGGATGGGAATGGCAAAGGGGGAGACCGGAAACGGAAGCCCAGATAAGGAAGGAGTGGCCTTTAATAGCAGCAGCATATCTCCCAGGTATATGTCTGTATGCTTTTGCTATCCCCCTCGCACTAGCAATTGCAACTTGCCAGTTTTGCCACAGATTTATAAACCAATTAGCCAAAGGCCAGAGATGGCCAAGAAAGTTACTCATTTGTGCGGTTTAAATTGGATCACGTGTAAGGGAGAGCCATATGCTTGGTTTTAGCCAAGTTTTGCGGTTCACATAAAGGAGAGCATCAAAGATTTGTGAACTGGACTAAAGGGTAATCAGTTTTTAAAGCAATAACTAAGCTGATTTTGAACTGATTTCAAGAATAAAATGAGTTCTTCTTTACCTAAGCTTGGCTTAAAGCCAGAGTCTTAACAATTAACTTGCTTTTAACTCACCTGAAAGCCATCATAGGTCCAGCTGCCAAATTTCATAACACAGGTCTGCTCATCAAAGGGAAAATACTCCACATCGATTTCACAGGAGCTCTTGTATATGGCCGGAGGACGCCATTCCACGCGTCCTGTATAGTTCAGCGTGGCTTTGGTGGCCAGCGTTACCTCAAAGTTGCCATCGGCACTGAATTGAAAATATAATTACAATTATTAGATAAATTATATATATGTACATATAAATGTGTGAGATACTCACTTATTATAGAGCACTATATCCGGCCGCCAAATGTGATCGGAGGGGACATGAAGCATCTCAACGCCACCATATTCCTTGGGCTCCCATTTGAGTTTGTAATCATACCAGGATTGCTCCACCCACAGATTTGTGGTCATGATTTGGTTCTTCAGATTGACATCAATCAGCTGCGATAGCTTCAGCTTGATGCGAACGGTGAGAGCATCCGTAACATTCACCACCGGCCGGACCAGTTTGTTATAGTTGCTCAGCAAATCGTCGTACAATCGTTTCGCATCCGGATTTGCTGTGCTGCCTAAGGGAATGGAATATACGGATATGGTTACACTATAGATTTCCAACTTGGAGAGGGGGAAAATAGTGGATTTGTTGAGGGCTTTGTGCTTTGAGCACAAAAATAATAAAAAACTTTTCTCGATTGCTATTTGAAAGCGCCAACGGCTGGTCAAGTTTATTAAATGCCCGGCGAATGTAATGGTTTTTTTTTTTTTGTAAAACTATTAAACCACTTTATTTGGCCATATGCTAAGTGTCTGAATAGTAGAAATACAAGGTTTAATCTTAGTATATTTTAGATTAAATGGGATTATGGTATTATTATTTTTATATAAGTTGATTTCAATGTAGGTTTTGTGTGGGGAAGTTTACCTCAAGAGAGTATAAAATTACTTTCAGGAAAATGATATGATAAGTGTCTGAATAGCAGAAATATAAGGTTTAATCTTAGTATATTTTAGATTAAATGGGATAATGGTATTATTATTTTTGTATAATATAATGTAGGTTTTGTGTGGGGAAGTTTACCTCAAGAGAGTATAAAATTACTTTCAGGAAAATGATATGCTAAGTGTCTGAATAGCAGAAATATAAGGTTTAATCTTAGTATATTTTAGATTAAATGGGATTATGGTATTATTATTTTTATATAAGTTGTTTTCAATATAGGTTTTGTGTGGTGAAGTTTACCTCAAGAGAGTATAAAATTACTTAAAGAAAAATGGAAAATCGGGTAATAATTTATATATTAAAATGTAATAAGGCTTGAAAGTAAAGAAAGCTTCTAATATTAAGTAAAGTAATTACAAGAAACCTTCAGAAAAAACACACATTAATTAGGAGATATAGGAAAACCCCCCTTTGACTTTTTATCTCAAAAGTTCTTATGGAAATGTAGTAAAACAATAGGTAGCTGGGATGAATATCAAGAGATTTAATATACCGACCAGAATATAATGCTCAAAATCATATTTAAATGCTCTTAAAATATATATAAAAAATAAGGTCATAACCAATTCCTTTACCTCGGACTTCTGTCTTAAATTATAATACCCTACAATGGGTATAATGATTGACCACCTTTCGGTAATGTTTCATCTAAGCTCCATGAGAAATCCTCTTAGGTCAATATCTCCAATGGAGTCATCAATTAATCTGAGCCCCCCTCCCCCAAGGAAATGTCGGCTCTATTCAAATCCTTTCACCCAGCAGCAAAATGCCTCGAGATCAATCCCTCAAACCTTGCCAGTTTCCATTATTCAAGGAGTATACGCTGCCGGCAGGGCATTTGCTTACATCCTGGACACGTCTGTGGCGTAAATGTGCGAAAATTGCAGGTGAACCTTAATGATGCAGGAAATGAGTTAATGCGCCGTCAATGCCAGCGACACCAGCGTCAAAGGAAGGGCACAGGACACAGGGCACAAGGCACAGCAAGGACTCCAGGAGCGACAGGCATTCATGGTTGGCCGAATGGCTTAGTCAACCGTTTGGCTCCCTCATTGTTGTAACCAGTTCCCTTCGCCATTGGCCAACATGCAAAGCAAAAGCGACTGGAGTGGAGTGGAGTGGAGTGACATGACCAGATCCTGATTGGCATCCTCGCCTGGGGGCAATGGCCAGAACTGGCCCCTGAGGGGGTCCCCCAGTTCTCTCTGTTTCTCTCTCTTGGATCAGGACCACAGAGTCTGTGTAGACTGGCATCCAGGGGATCTGAATTGGAAATGGAATCAGCGAAGGAGTAGGAGGAGTAACGTCAAAGGGAATGAGGGGGGAGACGGCTGGAAAATGTCGCCAATGTCATTATGCGAAGCTTGCGCTAATCAGCTTATCATTACTATATAACATGGGGCAGAATAATAACGAGGGGAGTGTGGGTGAAGGAGCAGGAGAAGGAGCAGGAGCAGGAGCAGGACATGGAGCAGGAGCAGGATCTGGAAATGGAGATGAAGCTGGGCATGAAAACAAAAGACAGAGACGAGGCAATGAAAATACTTGTCGCTGGGATCTAAGCGCATTAAAATAGTTGCTATCCAGAGATGCTGTAATGTCGTTACGACTGCGGTATAGATATATATATCTTCCATATACTAATGGTGCCGTCAGGCTAGCGAAAATAAATCAATTAAAAGATTACCCGGAACCACAAATGTGTGGTTAGACACATCACTGAGAAAAAGTCATAAGAAATGAAGATAATTATAATATAAATAAAGATAAATACAAGTCTAACTCTGTTAGAGGAATTTTCATAAAACTCATTAACTCGGTATAATATAAAATATAATAGAGAGAAATTATAAGCTATATAAAATATATAATAAAGAAAAATAATAATCTATAGAAAATATGTTATACCGGGAAATTATAATCTCTGTATTATACACTTTATATTTTCTAAGTTAAGGAGTTATTTCAAGTTATTTCTTTGTAAATGTGTGGTTAGACACTCCACTGAGAAAAAGTTATAAGAAATGAAGATAATTATAATATATATCTTATATATGTTAGAGGAATTTTGAAATAACTCCTTAACTTAGAAAATATAAAATATATAATAAACAGATTATAATATCTCTGTATTTTCCAAGTTATGAAGTTATTTCAAAGTACCTCTAACGGAGATAGACTTATATTTATCTTTATTACACACAAATCCTTCCTTAACTTAGAAAGTAAAAAATTTATATAATACGAATATAATCTTATATAATTTTGAAATAACTCTCTAACTTAGAATATATAAAATATATAATAAAGAGATCATAAATCCTCTGTATTATATATTATATATTTTTATAAATTCTCTGTATTATATATTTTATATTTTCTATGTTAAGGAGTTATTTCAAAATTTCAGAGATTATAATTTCTCTGTATTATATATATTTTATATTTTCTAAGTTAAGGGAAATCTATTTTAAGATTTCCACTGAGAAATAGTATGAAATATTTTATAGACAAACTTAAATACTTGCTTAAATACAAATACTTTCTCACTTGTCAAGTATTTTAATGGCTTCTCATTAAATACATACAAAACCAAGAATTAATCCATAATATTTCTCTGTGTAGCTGTGATTTTTCTCTATATCTTTCTTGTTTTTTTTTCTTTTTGATTTTGTTTAGCTTCTTTTTCTGATTTTGTTTTTGGCAACCGCAGCGAAAGTAAAAGTAAAAGGCAAAAGGCCGCAGCGAAAAAGCTAATTAGCGAAGCGAACCCCATTGACAATGGTCAGATTAGCCCGGAATGGGGCGGTTGGCCCCAAAAAGGGGGCGTGGCCATGGTCATCGCGGTCGGCATATACCAGCCAGTTATCAGCGTATATCATTAATTTAATGTCCCGCACATTAATTGACTTTGTCGGAAGGGAGTGGAAGTGGGGGTGGCGATAGGAACAATGGCCATAATACGAGAATATATAATGCTCCATGTCCTATATCCTTGCACAGGAGTGCCTGCGGAGGATGGCAGATGGACAATGGACAGGAGGTGGAATTGAATGAGATGAAAGTGCCTTCTCTGGCTAATTCCGAATGGTTATGAAGCCATGAAGGCATCAAGTTGGATTTTGGGTTTTGGCTTATGGCCAGGGGGGTTAAGTCTTAAGGTATATCTATAGGTATAGGTATATCTATAGGTATAGGTATAGGTTTAGGTATAGGTTTTGGTTTAGGTATAGGTATAGGTATAGGTATAGGTCGCTTATAATTTGGGTGAATCTAAACAAAACAAATATGGTTATAGGTATAAATAATTTATTAACTAAATTATCTATTCAATTTGAGGGGTTTTTGTAGCTGGGAAATAATTAAATTATAGACATTTAAAGATTCCCATTTCATTGGAGTTGCTTTTCATCAACTTAATATATTTTAGCAAGACTTTTTATTAAAATTTTCTTATCGAGAAAGTTTCTGAATTAAGTAAGCTTACTTTTGCTTAATTTAGTTATTTTTATAGCTCAGTATTTACCTATTTAAGCACTATAACAAAAGTAATGTGTAGTATTATTTATACAGTTTATAATCTAATAATATTTCATTAACAACAACATTAAGTTATACCTCTTTCCCTTATTCTAAATTCTTATCCAAATTTAATTTCTTAATATAAACCCAAACTAAAGTTCTTTTGTGAATTTCAATGTAATTAACCAATAATAATAATAATCATCCTGTTGATTCTTGGATTTATTATCAATAGATTATTCCTTTTCTACAAAATATAAATCTAATTTTAAACCTTTTAAAAAGATTAAGACCAACTAAAGTTATTTTATTAATTTCAATTATAACAATATTATTTATTTCGATTTTAGTAATAATATTCATTAAGTTATTTTCTTTCTTCTATATAATTTGGATGTCTAAATTGAACCCTTTAAAAATATTATTATATATTATTTTATTTTAATATTTGTATAATGCGAAAATTTCTATTAAATTTACCAAAATAATAATAATAATAACAATTTTGCTTTTTTGATTAATCAACAATAAGTTGTTCCTCTTCCTTTACAAAATTGATATTTTAATATAACCCTCAAAAAGATAAAACCCAACTCAAGTTCCTTGCAAATCTATTTATTAATTTGTTTAAATATTATCCTAGTGCGACAATCTATCTAATTTACCAAAACAATAATAATTATAATAATTAATTAGATTTTTTTGGATTATTCAACATTAAGTTATTCCTTTTTCTTCTGTACAAAATTGATATCTTAATAACATTGCAAATCTATTTATTAATTTATTTAAATATTTTCCTAGTGCGACAATTTCTCTGCAATTTACCAAAACAATAATAATAATAATCATTTCGATTTTTGGATTAATCATCATTACGTTCTTTCTCTATCTTCTATATAAAATGTATATCTAAATTAAATCCTTCAAAAAGATTATTCATTAATTTATTTAAATATTATCCTAGTGCGACAATTTTGTATTTAATTTACCAAACAATAATCGTCATTAAGTTAATCTCTTTCCTTCTATGCAAAGTTGATATCT